CCGGCGGCAGCCTTGGCGGTCTGGGCGGGGCGGGAAGCCCGCTTTCAACCCCGCGTACCCTCTGACCCCGGAAGTGCTTGCTGCCGCAGGACCCCTTGAAAAAAAAATGAGGACCATCTTTTTTAGGTCGCAAAATCACGCCACCTCACCTATGGTAATGCAAAAACACCCTTTTTAATGCTCTGGTGGTGAAAATCAAGCCCGCACTGGGCTTATAGTGCGAGTCCGGCAGAGCCATAAAATAAACATTTATTTTCTGAAATCGAACGGCATTGTCAGATGTTTCCAAATGTTAGAGTTGTGTGTTGGAGAGACACATTGTTTTTTTCCTTCGACTCACAAACGGTATTTGTGCACGGAATGACACGGGCAGCCCTGGCATAAATTGCAGGCGGGAGCTGGGACGCCGCGGGTTTAAAACGTGCGCGTGAGGAGGCCAGAGCGCGTGCGCGGGGGCGAGGAGGAACGGGAGGGGGACCTGCCGTCTTCCGGGGGGGAGGGGAGGCGAGGCCTGGCCTGACGGGCGCGCGCTGGCGGGCACGTGGGGCCTTTCGTCCCCGGCGTCCGGGCAGTGCACTCCAGCCCCCACCCCTGCCCTGGCCCACGGCGATGGCCGAAGTCGAAAGACCGAAACCCACCCCGGACTCTAGGCTGTTGAGTGTTTCTAAGAAGTGCTAGAAACACAACACATTAAGAATGGCGTCCATTTACATAATGCTTTGTTTGCATTTTGCAAGTTTCTTTCGGTTAAAGCCGCAAAAACCCCACCTCCTGCCCTTGCATCGTAATCGTCATAATCGTCGCAGCCTCGTTAAGACTTTTAAAACAAAGGTGTGCCTCTGCAGGCTTCATTTAAACAGGGGTTACGACTGACTAGTGCTGTGGAGAGTTTTACGCGCGGTGTACACCTCCGCTGCTGCCCTTCGGCCCTTTTCCCCTCTTGGTACAGCCACCGCGCCTCGCTGTCCCCGGGGGTGGGGGCGGCCGCCAATGGAGCCCCGCCATCTTGGAAAGCCTTTTCTGCCGAGTGCCACTACCACAGATTTCTCTTGCTAGGAAATGGTCGAGATGCTGACGTTCGCATTGTGATTTCTGCCCCTTCCCCTTAGCTAAGCTAGGCCAGAAGTGAGCTTGTGTGCTATGTGCTTCAGGATCTCGCCGGGAAAGCGGCTAACGTGTCGGTGCTTCCGCCAACCCTTTCTCCTTCCCCGCAGAGGTGGCAGCCATGTTTCCAGCACACAAAATGGCGACACGTGGCCCGGATTCGTCACCAACGAGAGACTCGAAAACTCTAGAATGTGTTCTCCCACCCCCAGCTTCCGTGGGCCCTGGCCATCCCTGCGCTGCGAGTCCGCCTAACCCGCTCCGATACTCTCCCCCCCACCGCAAGGTGATTCGAAGCTCTGCAGACGCATTTCCCCCAGTCATTTGAAAGGAACACGAATAATTGCATAATATAGGCACAGTACTGACACCTTTTTTAAAACATTTAAAAATTAGCAGTGGGTGGAGGGGGGGCTACAGGAATTTGGACCCCCCAGTACCAAAGCATTTAGGAACCACTGCCTTAAGGAAGGAGATGGGAAATAACAATATTCCGTGAGACCAAGGAATGGTTTTAAACCTTTTTTGGGGAAAAAGAAAAAAAAAAAAAGATTTAACCTTGCCTTCATGAAAGGGTGCTTGTGACCTTTTTCATAAGCCCGCTGGCCAGTAAACCTCAGTTAAATACAAAATTGGTTTTAGCCTAGAAGGGACAAGGGACAGATGTTTACTGCCCATGGGCGAGATCCTGTGCTAACCATTTTTATGTAGAGTATATTTAATTTTTTTACAATGATCCTCTGAGATAGGTGTTATCCCTCTCTCTCTCTTTTTTTCTTAACAGACAAGAAATTTAGGCCCAGAGACATGAAGTCACTATTTCAAGGTCACACAGTGAGGGAATGGAATCCAGACCTGATTTCCTTACTGGTGAGTGTTACTTTCCAGATTTTTCTGTAAATCAAAGTCTTGAGAATTTCAGTGCTATTTTAGGTGAACTTGTTATTTAAAGGAGCCACTCAGGTGAAACTGTTACGTAGTCACACTCCACTGCTGCTTTTTGGGGACTGCCCCTTTTTCCTGCTGTGAGCAGCACCTGTAACGGGCTGTTTCATGCTGTCTCTGGGTGAGGACCTGGAGGCGGAAGTGATGCCGCCTTGCCCACAGGCTCCAGCCTCTGTCAACCCCGCCTGGCCTGTAGCACACTGGAGTCTACTTGGCTCTTGGGAGCAAACAAGTGTGACTCACCTCCACAGTGCCTCAGGGATTTGACACCCACCTTCCCCGCCCCAACTCCCCAACCAGGTAAAAATATTTGACTGTGGCGCCAAGTCTCCATTTCTCTGTAAACACTGACAGAGCGTAAGCGTGCTACATAGATCATGGTTTGTGGACGCTTCAGTCCAATCTAACAGTCAGGCCGCAAACAGGGCTTTACATGTGTGTGTCAGATAGGGAGAAAAGAGGTTTTGCTTTCTTTAACTTCCATTTAGGGTCATATCTCGAACTCTCCAAGGTGATTTTTCATTACTATACTCCAGACCACCTTAAAAGGTAGGTGTCTAACAGCACCAATGACAATAAAGGATAGCACCAACTTCCTACTACATGCCAGGCATCATTCTGAGTTCTTTTGCTGTGTTAATTCAGTGGCCCAAACCTCTCACTAGAAATACAGTTTGTATCAGGACTCAGGTGTAGATGTTGTTGTTAAGTGCAGTCGAGTCAGTTCGGACTCATAGCGACCTTGTGTAGGGTTTCCAAAGAATGCCTGGTGGGTTTGAACCGCCAACTTTTTGATTGGCAGTTCAGTGCTTATCCTACAGTCACAGTAGGACTCCCAGGCATGTATATAAGATGGCAAAAAGCTCATGGAAAAGTTCTATTCTCTTTTAATTGTATCTTTCTATGAACTTTTGGAAGTCCCCTTGTGTAACAGAAATAACTTTCTGCCACAAAGTGCTTATCATTGCTACACACAATTTACTCTAGTAAATTTTATCCTTTTATATTAAAAAAATCAAAGTTTAAGTGATTAAAAACCCATTATTAGGCTGTGACCACTGTTCACGTTTAATCCTCACAAAACCTTATGAGGTGGGTGGTACTGTTATATCCGTCATATAGACAGAGAGGTGAAGGAACTTGTCTGTGGCTACATAGCTATAAGTGGTAAAGCAAAGATTTAAATTTAGATCACGTAGTTGCAGGGAGCCCTGTTGGTGCAGTGGATGGTTAACCTCAGAGTCAGTAGTTCAAACTGATTAGCTGCTCTGAGGGAGAAAAATGAGGCCTCTGCTCTTGTATAGATGTATAGCCTTGGAAAGTTCTATTTTGCCCTATAGGGTTCACTATGAGTCCGAGTTGGCTCAGTGACAGAGGGTTTGTTTTTATGGGTTTGGTAGTCTGAGTCCAGAGACTACAAACGTAATCACTGAACTATATGTGAACTCTCAGAGAGCCTCGATTTGTAGGGAGAACAGGGTACTTAGGGAATTAAATTAGTAAATGCTAAAAAAGAAGATAGAGAAGGGACTAAATTGCATATATTTAAGGATTATCCTCATTTAAAGCATTCTAGTGGAGGGTCAGAGAAAAAGAGGAAGACCTCCAATGAGATGGATTGGCCAAGTGGCAGCATTGATGGACTCAAGTGTGGCAACAATAGTGAGGTTGGCCCAGGATCGGGCCACTATGGGTTGGTACCGACTCCATGGCACCTAACAACAAGAACAACAACAGCAGTTCTCTAAATCTGCAAAATATTTATTTTTCCTGAAGAAAATTTTATTTATCAGATCTTTGTTTTCAAAACTACCTATTTGAAGCCTTTTTTTCTGCCAGAAATATTTCCTCTTACCTGAGTACTTTCAGGACCCAACACATCTCTTCACGGAAGCCTTCCCTTTCCAGTTCCTCCAACTCTCAGCTGCTTCCTTCCCTCAGAGTCCTATGTAGCCTCTGCTTTTCTGAGCCCACATTTGGTTGTTGATTGTTGTCTTGGTGTTGAAAACATGTGATACAGACCACTGGTGCCCTGGGTGATCTGTGATCTCTCAGAGAGGGTTCTGTACTTGGGGATTGGTGGTCTTTGGTCCTAGCCGCAGCTCTGCCACTGTCCAGCTGTGAGACATCTACAAGCCGGTTCATCTCTCTCAGCCTCTTTTTTGCTATCTATAAAAGAAGAGAAAGAAAATGATCTGGACGGTCCCTTTTGAGTCTGTTCAGGAATTTTCAGGAATTGTTGATATTTGGTGATCTTGGTTGTTTATCCCAGGAGTGGGCGGTGGCGGGGGGGAAGGTTATATAAATGCTTTACTCATTTTGGGTAAATTCCCCACTTAATTCTCAGACCTGCACAATCTTGTGGATATGTGAGTAAATTCCATATCACCCATTTTACAGATGAAGCCTCTGAGATATGGAGCAACTAAGTCTGAGTAGTCACCGCCCCACCCCTGGAGCCTCACACATGACTCTTCTCCTCCCACTCAAGTGACCAAAGGTTGGTTAAGGGGTTTAACAAGGTTGGGAAGGTGAATCATAGACTTAGACTTTGAAACTTGAGCCACAGGATTTATACTATGTTCAACACGGTTTCTGCTTCCTATTACTTTTCAATGGCATGTTAAAGAGAGCCTTTCAAAGTAATTTTACATTACATATTTAATCATGACAAACAGCTTTGCCAGGAAAGTATTGTACTGACTTAATGGAAACCATCTTTAGATCAGAGGGGTGAAGTGCCCAAGGTTCTACAGCTTGTCAGGACCTGAGTTGGGCCTCTTGACCCCTTCTTGGAGATTGTTTCCTTACTTTCTGATGCT